ACATCGGCAACACCGACCTCATGCGCTGGCCGAGGCAACGCCGCGCCACCTGGCGATGCCTGGCGCTTGCAAGGCGAGCGCCCTGATGACCGTCGCAAGGCCTGGGCAACATGCTGCAAATAGTCGCAAGAGCAGCGGCCGTGGCGAAGACAATTTGGGCTGTGGTCTCAACGCGGACGCGCCAGACTGCATACCCAACATGATCATAAGCATCCTCGATGCAAACATTGATCCGATCGCCGTCTCCCACGCCTCCAAGCCTTCGATGGTCATGACAGCAGCGAGGACACGAGGAACGCGGGGGAGGGCGCCCGAAAGCTCGCCGACGCCGATTCAGACCAGCAGCCCAACTCCAGCGAAACGCATGACCACAAAGCGACAAGCACAGCATCACGGATGCTCATACGTGCATACACATTGTCGTCCAGGTCCCTTCGGAGACGGAATACCGCGAAAGCGACGGCTGTAACGACATGGGCAGCAGGCAGGCAGCTCCTACGACGCCGAGTCCGCCGAAATCGATCGCATCATGCACGAGCATTACGCGTTCAACCATGGACCCCTTGTTACCCATCGGTCATGGGCCGTCTTCTGCAGTCTTCGACGGTCTTCGGACGGTCTTCGGCGGTCTTCGGCGGTCTTCTGAGGGTCTTCTGAGGGTCTTTGGCGGTATCCGCTGGTCTTTGGCGGTCTCTGGCGATCTTCCGCGCGAAAGCTGGGTGGTTGCGTTCCACAAGGGGTCCATGATCGAACACTTCACGAGCAGAGAAAACGGGACGAAGCACGCAGGGGGGGGGGGGGGGCAGAACCCCCGCGCTTCTCTAGGGCGAGGCTGGTGTCATGATAAGATTGGCTCAGGATGCGTTCCAGGATTTCCAGAGTATCTAACGGCCCTCGTTTTTCCAGCCCGCGTGGAATTTTCCAGAATACTGGAAGTCTTGGAACCCTTGGAAATCTTGGCACGTATCATTATCATGACCTCTTGCTCCTCTGATTCTCCCTGTGGCCACCTCCCCTCCGGCCAGAGGGGAAGGGGAGGCGGGGCCAGGCTTGGTGGCCATCCTCCCCATCCATTTAGCTCTCTGCAAGCCCTGCTGATTCACGTGTGGGTGCGGTGCCACGGTCTTCTTCAATAGCGGCGCTGAGCAGATGGGCAGCCAGGACGACCAGCGCGCTACTGAGGCAGGAGGCACGGTGGCCACCCTCCCCTTCCATTTGCCACGTGTGGGTGCGGTGCCACGGTCTTCTTCAACAGCGGCTCTGAGCAGATGGGCAACCAGGAGGACCAGCGCGCTGAGGAGGCAGACGGCACGGTGGACGACGATGGAGTGCGACACGAATCACGGCAAGTTACCCCTGGACACAATGGGATCTGCTCAATGCTTCGAGGATGAAGGGCTCTGGAGTTCTAATACACAAGGAAAATGATGACGACAGCTCGAGTGTCAGAAATGGTGGCTGTAACGTTGGTAGCTGGGTCAATGTGCAAAAACAATCTGAACCATCGAAACACGGAATCAAAACTCCCAACAACCATTGCGTAATCCCAGCTGGTGGTCAGCGGGGCGGGAGTCTTACGTGGGCCGCCAGCATAATTGGCCAACCACCATGTGTCGCCGCGCCGTCTGTTCTACGCGCCCAGGCAGACGAAGCCGGCACCGCGGCAGACCAACGGCGAACCTTGCGTCTGAGGCGGAGTTTGCCCTGGCGGTCGAGGCGATCTCCCCAAGACGTGAGGCCGCGCGTCGGAACAAACGGCGCGGCGACATGTAGATTATGGAATGGTGGTTAGGCCCGTTGGGGTAGTCCGGTGCGCAGACAGGCACCAATGACCACCATCGCACAAGCCTCTGAGTCGTACAGTCGGCCAGGCCACCGCGCGGCCCTGTGGGCACCCTCTTCACACGACCACGGCGGCGCGGCGGATCTGCGAGATTCCGCCAGGGCGCAGCCAGTCCGCCAAGCCGACGCCGACTGCTTTCTCGAGGAGCCTGGTCTGTCCGTGTCGCTCCACAAGACTCCGACCTGGTGCCCGTGATGGGCCTGTTTTCCACCACCACCACCACCAGATGTTGGAGAGGGGAGGGGGTCCTCCTCCCCCTCTTCTTTTTCTTCCTCCTCCTCCTCCTCCTCCTCCTCCTCCTCATCCTCATCCTCCACCTCCTTCCCCCCTCCAACTAATGGTGGTGGTGGTGGTGAAAAACAAGCCCATCAGCCTGGGCCATTGGCCACAGGCCTGGTCCCACATACTGCCACGAATACTCCGACATCCAGCGCCACATCATTGGCCACCACAGAGCACCGAATCCGCTTCTCCCACGACACCTCCAGGAGGACAAAGAGGACAACCAGAGAGCAGCCCGTCCAGATCCACGAGGACCTCGACGAGGACGATAACTACTCCGACGCTGAGAAGAAGGAGGAGGACGGTATTTACAGCTCCCAAGCGGACGACGACGAGTAGCTGAGAAAAAGAAGAAGCGAAGAAGGATGAGCTGGGCACCTACAGTTTCCAAGCGGACGACGACGAGTCGGACACTGATTGCCCATTGGCTACCGCCTGGCGCAACTGGAGGCCCAAAGCGATCGGACAACAGTGACAACGCGTTGGGCGGACACGAGGGTCCAGACAAGAGCATCCCAGAGGCAACCTGAGAGCACCCTCTCGACTAACTTTCTCCTCGCCGCTGGCCGCCCACTCTGGATCCCGCGAGCAATCTCCTGCCCTCTTGTGGGACGGGTACGGGCTGAGAGGATCGTTTCCTGAGGGCGGACGCGCTTTCGGATCCATTGGTCCCGATCGTCAAAGCACAGCGCCCTAATCTAGAGCTGTTCGGCACGCCGCAACGAACAACGATTTGCTCGCAATGCCAGCGTGCGCGCGACTGCCGACGGCGAAACCAGCGTCGGCGGTGACCAAAGCCACCGTGATCCCCAGGCAGGCCACCCGGGCCCCACAAGCATGCGACTGCCGACAGCCACGAGGGCCTACCAGGGTCCCAGAGAGGCGCCGCTGCAGAGGCGCAGACCGCATGCGCTGGATACGTACTTGCCTCTGTGGCATGGGGGCGGGGGGCGGGGGGGAGAATCCCCAAGATGCCTCCAAGAGGCTCCCAGGAAGCTCCCAGGGGGCCCAAGAGTGCCCCCAGAGGCTCCCAAGATGCCCCGTCCTCCTCCTCCTCCTCCTCCTCCTCCTCCTCCTCCTCCTCCTCCTCCCCCTCAGGCGAGGAGCAGCATGGATGGAGGATCGGAGGAGAGCGCGCTCAGGTGCCACCAGACCGACTGTCTGGGGGCAGCCGATGCCCTCGCGTTTGGGGGCAAGCCTCAGTGGTGTTCGTGGCACCGTTCTCGCTTCTCTCTCGCTCTCTCGCTCTCTCGCTCTCTCGCTCTCTCTCTCTCTTTCTCGCCTTCCTCCGTTCTACTCCCTGCCTCGTTCTCCCTCGCCTCTGGGCCCCCCCCCAATATCAAGCGGGCTAACTGCGCGACGCCTTAATCGACCCTTCTTCCTGGCGGCAAACCTGGAGGGGCTGGGCATCGTCGGATCATCGACGCCAGCGCCTTACGTCCCGAGGGAGTGCAGGAGGAGGAGGTGGGGAGGAGGAGGGGGGAGGATGATCACGTGCTTAGGGGCGGTTTGTCCACCCCAGGGCCTGGAGTCCTCCTGTGGGAACTGGCCTGCTCGCTCGTTGACGGGCGAGGAAGTCCGTCAGTCTCTCTGGTTGGCTCCTGTACGAAGAAGGAGGGGGAAAGAGGAGCAGGAGGGGGGAGGAGGGGGAGTACGAGGAAGAGCCGACGAGGGGCGTGCGGATTGCTTACAGGCCCCCTCCTCTTTGCCCACACCTGCCGACACTTCTCAGATCCAGAGCAGCATTTCTTATCGCCGTGCTGATGTGCAAAACTAGAGCCCCCTACCCCTAACGTGTTGAACAACCATCAAAATTCTGCTGATGTCGCTTAGATCGGAAGCCTCTTCTGACTCTGCGACAATGGAAGCTGCCCGAGCGGAAAAAACTGGTCTGGGAATGGGTTGATAATGTTTGAGATCACGTATTGAACTTATTTCAGAGCGACTTCCCAAGGCTAAACAACATTCGCAAATACACCGTAGCGCAATAGGCAGCAAGGCACAAACAATTCTCTGGAACGCAATGCCATGCATTGCGATGCACTGCAAATCTACACGACGTCAATGGACAGCAACGCATCGCAACATAACTCGATGCAATGCGAGTCAATACCTTGCGGCGCACTTCAACGCGATGGACTGCAATGCGAAATCAGTCCAAGGCAATACACAATCAATGCGAAGCACATGCGAAAACGATGCTTCCCAATACAACCCAATGTAAAGGCATTCCGATACAAAAAACATGCAAGTGGACATGTCACGCAACCGATGCACCTACAGTACGACGCAACTCAGTGCAATGCAATATCAATGCAGCGTCAATGCAAACGCAACGCAAAACACTGCAACGAGATGCAACGATTTGCAGATGACAAAACCAAGTCAATGCAACATCAACACAAACGAAGTGCAATGCGACGCAACAGCCATGCAACATCGACGCGCAAGCTATGCAGCAGTAACGTAACGCAAATATAATGCAAACGCCAAGCAGGATCTTTGCGCAATGCGCTGGCAATGCATCAGCAATGCACTACAAATGCAAAGCCAATGAAAACGCAACGCGACATCAGTGCGATGCAATGCGCTGCGACGCAATGCAAGAGTCATGCGAATGCAGTGTAAACGATGGCAGCTTCAACGATGTGCTGTGCGATGTTTCGCCATCTGCATTGCATGTCTGTGCAGACATACCCCCCCCCCGTGCAAAAAGCAACTGGTGATTTTCTACCCCCCCCCCCCACCCCCCCAATTTCAATGTTCAATGCGGTGCCGATTTCTTCTCGAACTTCGCCGGTCGCGCGATCAGCATTGAAATGGGGGGCCAGGGGGCTCACCAAACACCTGTTGCTTTTCGCACGGGGTTGTAGTACTTAACATGTATTGCGGTGCCAACATGTTTTGCCCAAGAGCGCTCGAGCGGTCACGGGTGTCCACCTGCGTGCGCGGGACCCCTTCTCTCGAGCTGTTCACTATTATTCACACTTCGCCATGGTTGGAGGCCACCCAAGTGGGGCTGGAGCAAGTGGGGCCGGAGGATCGCAGATGCATCGGCGACGTCAGGATGGTCATGACACGGCCCCATGTCAGGCCGCAACGCCGAGGCATCGGCGATGCGGCGCGACCATCCGAGCCCGCCTACCAGGGCCCCATGTCGGCGGCTTGGAATTATCGTAGGAGGCGTCGCAGTCATCACAGGTCATACTCGTAGGGAGGAGGAGCGTCGTAGCTGGCGGCGCAGTCGTCGATCCATCCAGCGTCGACCCACCCCTTCGGCGGGACGCAGGGCGCCCTTCGCGCCGGCGCGACGCCAGGTGCGTCCCGGGGCACCTCGGCGACGGCCGCGCTGCCGGAGTGGGCCTGGGTTGCGCCGGCAGCGGCCGCCTGAAGAGCGAAGAGCCCTCCTGCTCCGGCAACTTCTGCAGGCCACCCCTTGGGCGCCCCACTGGCGCAAAAGCTGGGGTGGGCGTGGCCAGCGGCGAACAACGGATGCGCAGGCGGCGACGCGTCCGCGTGCGGGGCGAAGTGCCCTCCTCCTCCTCCTCCTCCTCCCGCTCCTCCTCCGTCCTTTGTAGCCCATCCCTCGGACGCCCAATCAGCGTAGTCGTAGCCAGCGCCATCAGGTGGATATGCCTGCGACTGCGCGGCTGCCGCCCGCCCCCCGCGATCGCCCCACAGCCAGCAGGGGTAGCTGTTGCCGCGCTCGTCCAGCGGCACATCGCCCTTCTCCTCCCATGCCGAGGCCTCCCAGGCAGCCCGGGCCACAGCCTTCACATCCCTCGCCTGGCCCTCCTCTCGGGCGTCCAGCCTGCGCCGCTTGGCCGCAAGGTCGCCCTCCTCCGTCGTCTTCGCAAGCCCCTCCTCGGCAGCGCTGCCGTCGCCGCACTTGGCGGCGCCGCAGGACCCATGGCAACCAGACTGGTTCTCCCCCGCCTCCGCCATTGCACTCGCCTTCTGCCAGGTCCGCTTCAGCAAAGCCCGCAGCTCCCGCCTTCTGAGGCTGGTCAGCGCGAGCTCCTCGGTGCCCGCGGCGGACTGCGCACGCCGCCCCGCCTCGGCTGGCGGCGTCCCTGCGGCCTTCGACCCGGCAGCTTCGGCGGCCGCTGGTGCCCCGTCGCTCGTGGACGTGGCCGTGGGCATGGCCTGCTCGGTGTCCACAGCTGACGGCGTTCGCATCCTCGCCTCGGCTGGCGGCGCGCCTGCGGCCTCCGACCTGGCAGGTTCGGCGGCCACTGGCGTCCCATTTCTGGTGGGCGGGGCCTTGGGCACGGTGCCCACGGCAGACGGCGGCCACACGCTCGCCGCGGTTGATGGCACGCAGGCGGTCTCCGACTTGAAAGTCTCTGCGCCCACCAGCACCCCATCGCTGTTTGACGCGGCCATGGGCTCAACCTTCTCGGTGTCCACAACAGACGGTGCCCACGTACTCGCCT